AATGTTCGCAATATTCTAATTTAAAATTGTGAACAGTGATGCCATCCTTTCCTTGGCATTTAAATAGTTTACAAAACTACTTCCTTCAGCATTACTCATCAACGTTTACTGTGTGCTGGAAAATTACGTAGCTCATGCCATGTTGTCACCAACGTCGGCCACAATTATTTATTCAAGGTATTCAACATGCTATGCACTTTGTTTTTGTCCTTACAGAAATTAAGTGACATGAAGTACTATGTGGGGACTAAGGCTTTATGCGATATACTAACCGTATGTTTGTATTAATAATGCGTGTGTTCAAGTGTGTTTCGGTGTGTGTGTCGGTGTGTGTGTGTTGGTCGCTGTACATACCAAATATGTGGAAGCACTTACATTTCATCGCATTAAAGACGTGCATGTCCGTTGAGTCATAATTAAAAGTTGCCTTATGAATATTTGATTTTAGTTTTACTACGAAATGGCACGACCCACTTTTTACTTTTGTTTTCGCATGCCAAAAATAAATTACGTTATTTACCTCATAATGAGGTTTTTGTATTAATTTACGTAATTCTTATTATCGTTCCTTCCCCGATATTATTATCCACTTTTTGTGAACTGTTAAGTTATTTTGTTACTAAGACGACGCATAAAATAAATAGATTTTATTTAAAAACCAATTATTTAACTTTTCACATGCGTGCTTAAGTATATAAAAATAAATCGTCTTTCTCTCTAAAAGGCAATGAAACCTTTGAGTTCAATTAATTAGTTAAAGTATTTTTATAGCCCAACAAATGTCATTAGAAACTTTCTTAATGCTCTTTCTTTTGATAGGAAATCACTTTTCCGCAGTTTTTTGAAACAGTAAAATATAGTTTTATATTTATTTAGTTAGTTATTATTAACTGATTTGAAACGATAGTAGTTTCCAGACTCTAAAACAGAAGCCTCAAGATGGCAGAAAGAAAAGATACTTAAATGAAAATAAACATAGTGACGGCTAATAAAACCAATAATATAAATAAAAAATATTAATAGATAATGGATTATATTAACAAAAACAAATAAAGTTGCACAAAGTCTAAGCGATTTTCCGGTAAACTGTATTATCTAAAATCTTTTATTCAGACTGTTTATTTCAGTTGTAGGCTCAAAAGCTTCAGACTTCAAACTGGAACTATTAAAAAGACCTCTTGTGAATGAATTTTGAGAATATTCAAGCTATGTGTCCAGAAAAGGTCAACGCTCGAAACCACATTCCTTTAACCAAAGGAGGTGATCTCATAAGTTTAGTATTTATAATAAGATTTCCAATTTTAAATAAATTGCAAAGAATTGAAACATGGGTCCAAAAAAAACAACATTTGTAACCATATTTCTTTCAACAAAGGATCTGATCTCAGCAGTTTAGTATTTATATTCAAGTTTCGATTTTTTTTGCGTCAGGAGTGAAAAGATTTAAGCCATCAGTCCACAATATATCAATGTTTGAAAGCCTTAAATCAAAAGATGTAATCGCAGCAGTTTAGTATTTAGTTTAAGATTTTTAAATTTATTCAAGCCAGGAATAAGAAAGAATAACTTATTATCACGTAGGTTTATTATTTATATTAAAGTCTCCAAATTTACTCAGGTCAGGAATTAGAATATAATAATTCATTCATACACATATTTAGTATTTACATTAAGATTGTCAATTTATTTAAATCAGGAGAGAGAATTGAATAAAACTTATTCACACAGCAAAAGCTGGTATAATCTCCATATCTGGATTAAATCGGCAATCGACAGTTTGAGAAAAACATTAATTTCATATAATTTCATAAGAATGAGATAGCAATAAAGAACAAGGTTTAGAAGAAATTTAAGAAGTCCTGCTTAATCGCAAAAAATCGCAAAGAAAAAAGTGAATGGGATTTAAACTGTAAGTACTAGAGATATTATTCAACCATTGCTTGTGGTCTGCAATTTATAGTGATAGTCTGTAATTTATGCGAATAGGTTAGGTATATAATGGTATTTTGAGTAAGAAAGATACGATAAAAATATTGTTTCTTTCGTTTATTCACTTAAATGTTGAAAAAAAAAATTGATATAAGAAATATAATTCGAAAGAAATGGACGAATATGGATTACTGGAACATTTTCAAAATATTGCAATACTGTAGCATTGATTTATTATTACTCTATGTGTAATTGTTTCGTCATAAATTATTCTTTTCTAAAAACTTTAATTTAAAATCCTCAGTTCCTTTGAATATTTAGTAGATAATTCACTTTGATATATATGATTACTCTAATAATGTTTTCGCTTTTCGTAGTGTAGAAAAAAACATTGAGTCTGAAGACTTTAAAATACTAACGATTATGAATGAACTCATATGTTAAAATTCTTAAACGAAGTTAAATTCAGGAAATTATATTCATATATACATAACTATAATAAAATTCGTGATAATTACGATAGTCAACAATAGAAATTAAGAAATTGTGATAAATATAATGTTCAATATGGCTGAAAGATGGAAGCATTTAGTATCAAAAATGAGTAGGTAAGTGGCTAATTATTATACAATAAAGAAAAAAATATTCTTATATGATTTAATCCAAAATAGATAATATAAATTACGTATGAACCATTACTGAAAATATAATCGTTTATATAAGAATTTTATAAAATAGAGACTAAGATAGAATAGAAATTAAGATAGGGAACATATTTTTATTATCATTTTTTACTTCCATAGACACAACCTTTATAAAACTGATAAAGAATGCAATTTCAACCTTTTCTCTTCTTTATTAGTGCTCAAATTTGGGTACTTAATTTATCTCTCCTACAATAATTTTCCAGTATTATGATTCTCGTAACTTTTTCTTAGCCAATTGTTTGAGATCATTTCATCCTGATCGAAGACACCGTTTTTTTTCCTTCTCGATTTTCGACGATTTTAACTCATATTACAATAATTAGTATACTTTTTTGACACCAATTCGTGATACATGGCTTACTCATTTCTTTCGCTGAGACTTATATATGATTTCCGAGTTTATATATGGTAAAAAAGGCAATACCTCAACATTACTTCTTATTAAGCATCGTACTTTATTTATATTTGCGGACCTAAAAAATTTGTTAAAAATCTTGCTTTCTGAATATATATACATCGTGGAAATTAATTATACATCCTTCAAAGATCCAATGGTTGACATCAATATCGAGCATATTCCTACGTTTTTTTCCGTTCGGATTTCGAAGGAATAATTCATGTGTAACTAATGTATTTATCGAGCTACATGAAAAATCTATTTCATTATCTCAGACTTCTATTTGATTTCCAAGTCCATTTTTTTAATAAATCCAGAACTTCTGCTTTAGTTCTAATTAGGTACTGTTCTTCGTTTACTCTTACGGGTTCAAAAATGTTTGTTGATGAACGTAATCAATTTCAACCTATTTTATGTCGAAAAAAAATAGTGTTGAATTCATGAAAAGGTGCAAGGAATTGTGTATAACCGAGAGTGTATAAATATGTAATTATTACTGACTAACAGTACCGAAGACAGACAGTAATGGAGCTCACCTAAGGTTGGAATCCGTAGAACTTAATCACCTTTAGAAAAAATGGTTAGTTGGTTTAAAACAGCAACTTTTGTTTTGAAACTTTCGGTAAGTAACTGTGGTCAATTCTGACGATTTTAGAGTCAAAAAATGGCATAATAAATGTTCAATCACTTCTTCTGAGCCCTCATCCTGTTAGCTTCTACAGAATTCTCCATTGGCACTCAGGTAACCGCATGTAGACATATCAAATAATAACAGACATAAGGGGATTAATATCTTGCTTAAATTTTTTAATCTGTCATTTTGTATTATTGGCCAAAGTTGCTGTCATATGTGGCAATTTTGTTCTGCTATTTGATTTCTAATTTTGTAGTTATTATATAGTTGAAAAGACTTTTAAAGGGTCTTTCTCTTTCTTTAGTCTCTAACATCGCAAATCTCTACCATTTTTCATGACCTCAGTGTTACCCGGAAATGGTATTTCCAAGTACTCATCATCAGTGCTCTTAGGAAATATTCGAATTTCTTTTTAATTAGTTGTTAGTCCGTTTATAATTTGTTTGAACTGCAAGTTTTGGGCTTAGAACTTGTGCTTGTCAAATTAGAAGCGATGACTAACTAAAGTTTATTAAATATTTACAGTATT